ATTCTAACTAATAGTCCAAAAACAAGCTAACTCAATCTATTGGGTACCAGCCTCGCGTCAGGTGTGCTCCGGATTGTCCACCTGCCGCCCGAACAAGCCGCTATCTGGCTTTCCTATCGCGAAATTGACAACCTGAATCCCACAATGACAATCACAGCGGTTCCCGTTTCTCATTTCACGTTGGCTTCCCTTTTTGTCACGGCGTCACGGCTTCACCAGCAAGTTCGGCCAAACCTCAGGCAGCTTCGCAGCTCTTCTGCCGGTGAATCTGCAGAATCGAAGACGTTGTCCAAACAAACAATCATGGCTCACCTAATGCGATAATTCCCCCGCCCACCACCATTATTACACCACCAATGACACAGCGTTCGCACACATGCGCATTACCACGCAAACACGCTTTCCACCGATGCCTCGCCCAACCGCAAAGCGCAATGGAATCACAGACGTATTTTTGCAACCCCGTGTACCACCTATACTATGCTGGACGCAACAGGCGATAGCGGCAGACTGACGCAAAGACATCGTAAATGAAATGTTGCCACGCCGCGCAGCATGAGTAAAGGACTGTCATCATGCTGCAAGCCATGCTGCTCAACCCACGAGGGCTGTCAAGCCAAACGCAAAGTTTGGTCCAAACATGCCGAAGACTGAACTGATGTGCCCTCAACTGGGTCAAAAAGATCTGCTCCTATGCTTTGCTTGTCGACTGCGCGCGCAGCCAAAACTCATCAACTGGCGCCCATATGGGCCGTCCATGTCAAGCCCATGAAATTCTGGTCTCAATCCCGTCCAAGACGTATGGTCGCATTCTTAGATGCTCTTGTATCCAAGCTGTGCTTCCCGAAGTGTAGGGCCATGGTTCCGCTTTCTGCTCGTCGCCCAACAACCTTGCAGCGGCGTCTGAACTCAAAACGCCCATCAACAGTTCTTGCCGCTTCACGGGCGATTAGGAAACGATTGCGTCCAACAGTCTGCTGAGGTTGCCTTAGCGTCATCGAGTGGCTCGAGCTGGCAAGATGGCTCCAGGCCAGGACCAGGCTCGACATCCATGTCGCTACATGATGGTGGCTGTGTACACTTTTCCAGTGGATGGAGCAGGTCGACCACTTGCTGAACTTGATCAAGGACCACTTCTTGAAGGTCATGTTGACCATGAACTGCCACCGTTTGATGATCTGCAGTACCAGCAGCCGGATTTGAGCGCTGAGGATCCTGGAGCTGAGCTGTTGGTTGAAGAGCCAGTGGTGGAAGCGGAGGTTGCGGGGGAGGACACGGCGGTGCGCACATGCAAAGCATCGTGCGAGACCTGGCACAAGTTGGTGGAGGATTCAACGGATGTGACGGTCCGCAACCTGACATTTGTGGAGGTGCTTCATGGCCGAGCGGTCAGTCACATCTTGCCGGCTTTGGCTCGTATCTATGCTCGCTTGAGAAGCCTGGGGCTTCCTCTATATCGGGTACATTGTGACCGTGCTCGGGAGCTGATCTCTGCCCCGGTTCGTCGATGGACCTTGGACCGTGGCATTGTGACCACGCTCGCAACAGGTGACTCGTACAAGAGCAATGGGAGAGTGGAGGGGGAACTTGGCGTGGTGAAGAAACATGTTCGCACCTTGGTCGCTTCCACGGGCTTGGGCTTGGACATATGGCCGTTGGCGGCAATCCACATCGGGGAGAGGCGGTTGCGAGGCCAACTCCGAGGGCTGGGGTTCCCATCTGGTCCAATGTTGAAGTTTGGGGCAAGAGCTTATGCTTTGAAAAAGTCCTGGCAGGACAGGTACCAGTGTTGGCGGGAGATTCGTGACGAGGTGATCGTTTTGGGTCCGGCCACGCAGTCTTCTTTGACCACAACCAGCTACTATGTCCAATCCCTGGACACCAAGAAGTACTTCTACACGGACGACGTGGTTGCGCCAAATGAAGATCAACCTGAGTGAAGAGGTCACGGTGCATCTCCCAATGGCCGATGCTGCCCCTCGCCCAGTGTGGGAAGAGGGGGTACCTCGACGTCGACTGCGGGAAAAAACAGCTCCACCGCAGTTGTCCATGTTCCACATGGAGGGGGAGAATTGCCGATGGGTACAAACCTGGCTCAGTGCACACCATGAACAGTTTGATGGTCTTGGACCTACTGACCATACCCTTCGCAGCTTAGAGGTGAGCAGCGACAGCTGGACGTTGGAGACTCCTGACCGAACATCGTCTAGTGGAGGTGACTCTCAGGAAGGACATCTGGAGGCGAGGATGTGGAGGGGGCGCCTAACAACCAGGACGGTGGCTCAAGCCTGGTGGCCCCGATGATGCACGCAAGTCCTGAGAGGTTGCCTCCACGAAAGATTCAATGCCTCCGATCGCTGCAGGCAAATCTGGCGAAGTATGTCGCTGAGGAGATGGCACATGTGGACGTGACAAACCCAGAGCAAGGTTGCTACATGGAGGCGCTTACCACGGCCATCCTGAACAAGAGTGAAGTCGAAGAGATAACAACCATGACGCGGAGGTGATTCAGAACCAAGAACTGGAAGAAGAGTTTCTGGTGACTCGAACGATCAGTAGCAAGGAAGTTTGGGACGACTTCACGAACTGGATCCCATCCATGGAAGCGGAATACAACCAGCTGGTGCGCACCAAGGAGGCGGTCACAAAAAAGGAGCTGCATAAAAGGGCAGAAGCAGAGGGCAAGGTCATTGAATTGCTCCCGGCAAAGATGGTGTACACCAGAAAAGCAGGTTCTGGAGTTCGAAGAGCCAGAGCAGTCTGCTGCGGGAACTATTCAGAGTGCTGGTGGTGCAGACGGATGCCAAGCCCTTCGGTCATGGACCATAGCAGCCACGGACATCCGTGTGGCATTTCTCAACGCCCCGAGGCGGGAAGATGGGAAGCTTGTGGCTATGGAGATTCCAGCCGTCTACAGAAGGCTTGGTCTCGCAAAGGAGGGAGATGTTTGGTTGGTCAAGCTTGCAATGTACGGCCTCACCACGTCCCCGCGAGACTGGTCGCAGTACCGCGACGTGACACTGCCATCAATCAGCTGGGCGCGCATAAGAGGGGATCAAAAGGTCCGTGGGAATTTCCACAAGACCGCGGATGAGAACTTGCGGCGCCTGGAGGAGGTGGATCTGGAGACGGGGAAGCAGCATTGGACAGGTCTGATGTCAGTCTACGTGGACGACATCCTGCTAACTGGAGAGGAGGATACGCTGGCAGCGGCGCTCACTTCATTTCAGGCCACCTGGACTACATCGAGTGTGGAATGGGCATCCTCCAAAGATCCAGTGCACTTCTGCGGCTTTGAAATCAGGGCTGATGAAAATGGTGATGGGTTCCACCTCGCCCAGCAGAAGTATATGAGCAGGAGATCCTGGCCAGGTGGAAAGTGAAAGAGGCCACAACCTATCCCCACTTCAAGATCATGGAAGAGGACGCGGAAGAAAAAGGGAGGTGGACAAGAAGCAAATCAGAGAGGCACAGGCTCTAGCGGGTTCGCTTTTGTGGCTATCAACACGGTCGAGACCTGACCTAGCATTTGGGGTAGCTGCCATCAGCCGCTTGGTGACAAGAAATCCAAGGAAAGCAATAGAGATTGCACATGTGCTCCTCACCTATGTCAAGGGGAACCCTGGTGATCTTCACTACACTGGGGCGCTGCACAACATGTGGGGGGTCCGCGGACAGTTGAAGATTCCGCGACACAGCAAGTTGATAGAGGTCTTTGCGGACATCGCCTATGGCACGGGCTCAGGCCATCGAAGTGTTCAGGGCTTGGCAGTTTACTTTGCAGGTGCTCCCATCGCATGGCAGAGCTCCTCACAACCCTTCGTCACACACAGCACGGCAGAAGCTGAACTGGTGTCCTATTGTGAGGCTTTGACAGTTGGCCGTGCCACCGAAGCACTCTTGCGCGCTATGTGGGGGGAGGAGTTGTCCAATGCAAATTCCTTCGAGCAGGTCATCTATGGGGACAACGCAGCAGCCATTAGTTTGGCCTATGGCAACAGCAGCACATCCTGGAGGACACGCCACTTGAGAGTTCGCTCCAACATCCTCAAGGAGGCATTGGACACGAAGAGCAGCTATCCAGGTGGACGCTGGCAATTGAGCCATCTTTGCGGCACAGAACTTGTGGCCGACGGTTTGACAAAGCCTCTTCTGGGCCAGAGCTTTGTGGAGTTCATCAAGGACCTGGGCTTGAAGGAGGCGGACATCAAGATGAAGAAAGTGAAGGAGAACGTTCATGGCCTTCCATCACAAGGCCAACAAACGGCGTTGAAAGCAATGGTCGCCGGTGGCACGTTGGTTCGGGCAGCTGAAGCTCAAGGAGAACCCGAAGGTGATCCAACGCTGGGTAACCTATGGCTCTGTGGCCTGATACTGGTCGTGATTGGGGCAATCTGGGTTGGGAAGGCAGCCATGCAGACCTTGGGCTGCTGCCTCCGTCGATTGCAGTTGACGACTGGCCAGTTCCAGAGCATGGGCGACGATGCAGGGGATCCTCAACCAACATCCTTGCGGAGGGGCAGGGCAAGGCCACGGGGGCGATGGACTCTTTGGTCGGAGGAGGAGAATACAACCACATCGGAGGAAACTACGACGGAGGAAACAGAGGCGGAGGAAGAGGCCGAGATGGCCCGAGAGAGCAAGGTGAGAAGAAGGAAGGCAATGGCTCGTGCTGGTGATCACGATCAAGAAGTTGATCGTCAAGGGGACAGCAGGGGCACCACTACATCGAGAAAGAGCTCTTTGTCACGGCAAGCCCGGCCGCACTCGGGCTCTACAAGCGGATTTAGACGCCACGACGAAAGACTTCAACAACCGCTACAAGTTCGGCCGATGGTGGGATGATGCTAGCGGCTAACAATGCCGCAGATGATGCTGAGAGGGCAGCAGAATGGGCAAAGCAAGCAGCTGATGCAGCGGGGCGAGCGGCGGGCAAGGCAGAAGCCGCTGTGGTCATGGTGCACAAAGTGGTCGCATCGACCCAAAGTTCAAGGGCAAGTGCAGCGGCTGAGAGTTCGGCCCCGGCTGACAAGGAGCCCGGGAATCCCTGGAACAAGTTCCAGAAGGACCATGCCGGAAAAGGCTGGTCAATGGACCGCCTAAGGGCGGAATACTATCGGCAGAAGTGCCATAGAAAGTAGATGCCTTGAGCCCGGCACTTCTTCGAGTGTTTTTCCCCACAGTTCATCGAAGGATGAAGGGGGAGTCTGTCGCATTGGTGAGACCACCATACATGAAAGGCATTTTGTGCTCAAGAAAAGGAGCGTACTGTTTCGAACAGGAATGCAACGGTTGGAGCACAGCGTACCTTTTTCGTCTCTGGTTTGACCCAGTCTGCTCACTCAAAACAAAATTCACAAGGGAAGCATATAACACCATGCTCATTTGGAAGGAACCATACGAAACACTGAACACGTAAAGGCGTTGCGCCTTTCTCTAAGATCGGCGCAAGAGGCCTTTTTGAAGACACAGGGGCGCCAACTTGTCGCCAGCCTGCGTGGGAAATCCTTCACACAAAGAACACATGATGCAAAAAGGCTCGGACTTCTCACTGAAACGGTTCCGAAACTTCCTTGGAGAGCCGTTTGCGCGGACACGTTCATTCATATTTTAAAGGGACATTGAACTCAAACCCTTGTTTTCCTGCGTTTGTGTTCTTTCCTCTTGTTCTTCTTTCTTTTCTTGCAGGAAGTCTTCACCGCCCTGAAGTACTGTGGGAAAAATTGGCCTATTCTTGCAAACACCCGCGCCTGATGTAACGAACGTTTTGAGCAGCCAACGGTCCGAGCCGTCCTCTAAACAATCGAAGAGGGGCGGAACAAACACAAGCGAAGCGACTGTGCTTTAGCCAGTCTCCCTACATGTTACGTCTGTCCAAGCCTTCCAACACAGGAAGTGCAACATGTGAGGATGGGCGAGAAAGGCACAACAAAAACCTAGACTTCAGGCTACAATGTAAGGAGCTGGTACTAGTAGCTTCTTGCTCCTAGTAGTAATGGCCTCCAACCTGGCCTCCACCTAGTAGCTTCTTGCTACTTATACAACAGCTGCATTCAACACAGCACTTTAACTTCATGGCTTTGTTTCAGTAAGGTCCGACCCGTCCAGTTGTGGTTCGAAGGCCGTTCGCCCATGGTTGCAGCGAGCATTGTTGATCAGGAGCGCATCACCAGCCTGCGAGCTGAACACAACGCAGAGGAATTCAGCCTCTAATGTTTGCTTCTGATTTTGTTGTTTGGGCTGCACATGTTTGACCATATATTTCTTTTGCTGCACATGTTTCAACTGCATGCAAAACTTGTTGCTGCCTGCAAATCCACCTTGTCCGCGAGATCTGTGGCCATGTTCAAAGCGTGTTGATAAGCAGCCTGACGTCCAGCTTGCTTCTCAAGTCCCGAGAACGGTGTACCTAAGGGGTCTTTTTGCAATATCCCTGGATGCAACTTTCCTTTGTTACTAGTAGCTTCTTGTTACTAGTAGCGATAGCCTCCAACCTACTTGCGATGGCATCCACCTAATAGCGTCCTTGCTACTAGAAAAATCACACATTTGTAATAAGAACAAGTGAACCTGCAAACTTCCATCTGCAAGTCGTCCAAACATCAAACGTCTGTGGAAGAAGGGGTGGTGGCTTTGCCTCACCAGAAGTTCCTGCTGGTTTTCCTTGCGCTGGACTTTCCTCCAAGACGTTGTGGTTCTGCCAGTTGCATTTGTACGTTGTCTATCTTGGTTGCTGGCCCAAACCACGCTTTGGCAACTCATTCTAGTGGGAGAGTTGTAGAGAATGATGGGGTACAGGTTCAGAGGTTGTACACTCCAACAATTTCCAACAGATTCTAGTACCCCGCCTAATGGCATTGCTATGCGAAACCTCTTTGATACGTTTGCAGGAGACCTGGATCCCTTGGAAAAGGGCCACAGTGGTTCGGGCGAAATCAGCACCCGTCTGCCCAGATGAGTGCGAGGTCCGGAAAAGCTCAGCCCGTCAGAGCGTAGCAAATCCATAGCGTCCTCTTGTTCCTAGTAGTAATGCCAGGAGCGCCCCTCGTAGCGTCCTTGCTCCTAATAGCGATGCCCTTTGTTCCTAGCAGCTTCTTGTTACTAGTAGTAAGGCCAGGAACAATCATGTCAAGGCCAGGAAGGAGTTCCAGGCCACCAAGGAACCAGCTTTGACGCCAGAGTTCTTGAGAGCAAATTTTAAAAGTCTGATGTTTTTTGTGTTCCCAGCATTTTGAAGCGCTCGGGTCGCAATTTTCTAAAGAAAGATATGCTTTTGATTGTTGTGGGGGGTATGTTCGGTTCTTTCAGTCTCGATGATGTAGGTATCCTGTCACATCCTGTCTATGTAGTGCTTGGCTCGTCATTGTTTGTGTTCCATTTTTTCCCAGCGATGCGATTCTTGACCAATCACTAGAAGATGACATGGCCAAGCTTGTAGCCCCTTCAGGTACCATTTTCTAGGGGAAGTTGTTTTATATGTCTGAACACGTGTTCTGTTTTATATTTCTACTATTAGAGTTTCTGTTGTTCATAACCGTTTGACTCAGCTTCGAATGCCGAGGCTGCGGTTGGGCCCAGAAAAGCCAGACAGATTCGATTCACATCCTGTGTGCGGACCTCTTGACGGTTTGCCAAAAACGCAAATGCACAGGCCACTGTTTGCCTCATCTCAACACCCCTCTCTCGCAACATTGTCGGTGTGCATAGCTCAAAAATAGAAGGCAGGTGAACAGACAAAGATAGATTGATTTGACAGATTGGTTGGTCCACACCGCGGCGCCGCTGCGTGTCGCCTTGCGACCACTCATGAACCGTTCGCATGACAGATTGGTTGGTTGGTTAATCTGATTGAATCGGCACTCTTTTGCTCATCCTCTCTGGGACCTTTGCTGGGCGACAATCCATTAAATTTGGACACCTTCTTGCCCGAAAGCGTTTTCCCTTCCTGCGCCATGTTGGCTGCATGGTCACCCTCTGCACTCCAAGCTGTGTGGTTTGGTGTATAAATTCTACAAATTTAGAAGTGCATATTACTTTCGCAATGTCTTGAGATCGTCGCGGTTGATTGCTTTTTGCTTTTGTGGCTTTGGCTGCTGCCACTTGATGTGGTGATGTGGCATGAAATGCTTCTAACGAAAGGCAAAAGAGAAGAAGAAAACAAGAAGACCAAGGTAAGGATCCGCCTAAAAAGGCTCCGTAAAGGGGTCCCACAGGAGCCCTTACCTTCCGTCTTCATTTTCTTGTTTGTGCGGTGGTATATTCTGCATTCCACGCGAGGCAGTCCTCTGTCTCCGCATCATCGCTGACAATGCGGTAGGAAAAGTCCTTGCAAGTATTGTGGGTTCATGCGTAGCAAGAGGGGTAGAGGACGCTACTAGGGGCTCTTGGCCTTACTACTAGGAACAAGGACGCTACTAGGAGCTACTAGGAGGACAACCTGAAGGAGATACCATCCATTGCTCGATCAATCAACTTCCTGGTGATCTGGAATGTAGAAGAAGGTGACTCTGGGATCTTCCTCACACCAGCACAGGGACGCAACGTCGGACATACAAATTTACATGAACCCAGACTGCTATTAGGTTGGAGGTCATCGCAAGTAGGTTGGACGCCTCAGACCCTGCTATTGCATAGAACGGCTTGCCATACGGAGAGAGGCTGTCCGTCCTGCAGGCATATTTCAGCCGCTGTCCAGAAGTAAAAAAAACAAATGGAGGTGAGAGCTTCTTTAATAAAGTCTTCTTTAAAGAGGCCTTTACCTCTTCTCCTGCATTCGTTAACTGTTGCAAACAAGCAGAACACACAACCAAAGAGAATCTTCGTTGTGTTCTGGCCTGACGCATTGGGTTTGTACTGGGCTACGTCGCAATGCTCGAACTTGCCAGGGCTCTAAGCAGGCCACGAGGTGCTGCGAGCTGCAAATCCGCGTCAGCGCACCATGCTGAGCCAGGCATCGGAATTAAACAAAACAAAGACCTCCAACCTAATAGCGTCCTTGCTCCTAGTAGCTATGCCAGGAGCCCCTAGTAGCGAACATTGCTCCTAGTAGTAAGGCCAGGAGCCCCTAGTAGCGTTCTTGTTACTAGTAGCGATGACCTCCAACCTAAGAGATATTTTGAGTTTGGCAAAGAACTTAATTAACAGAAAAACAGTGACGCGCAACGAACTTGACAGGAAAAATGACGCACACCTCAGACCTGCAAACAGGAACACTTGCGTAACACATTGCGTGCAGGAGTGTCCCAATGGCTTGTTCATGGTCGTTTTATCAAAATGCCACAACCAGCTCAGAACTTGGCACGGAAGATGCTCCTAGTAGCGTCCTTGTTCCTAGTAGCGATGCCCTTGTTGCTAGTAGCGTCCTCTACCCCTTTAGTTGCAACATGCTTTCACAAAAGAATGCATAATGCGACCAAAATGACGAAACCCAGGTCCCGCACCTGAGGATCTCCACGCAAAGCCAATAGAATAAAACCCTCAGGTTCGTTCGCTGCCCCTGAGACACACCTCATGGATCAACAAAGACTCTACCAGTCAGACTACCAGTGGACGTGTTCAAAGCATGTTGTTGAAGGCTCATATTTGCCATTTGGAAGTGCAGAGAGAAGTGTCAAATCTTGTTGCGGTTTCTATGCTGGGCTGCATTCAAATGTTGTGTTCCAAGTATGTGACCCGCCCCACCCCTAGGGCCTTTGCCCATTATCACAAGTTCGCCTGAGTCAAACCTGACTTGCAATCGTTTAGGAAAAACACAACCTCATCGCCTAGCCCCTTCAAATCTATCACCTTCAGCGTGCGTGCATCATCATGCTGTTTCACCTACCCATCACCTTCAACGGTTTCTGTGCTGTGCGTTTTCTATCTTAATACATGCGACCGGTGTGGATTTGAGCAAAGCGCAGCCCTCTCAAATATGTGAAAGCGGAGTACGGGCTTGCCCCACCAATGGTTCGTGCAGTGCAGCAAATGAAGCGCTTTGTTCTCGTGGCGAAGGTAATCTTGGACGTGTAGCAAGTGCAGTGCCGGAATTGCAGTGTCTAGTAGATTGGAGACCATCGCTATTAGGAGCAAGGGCATCGCTACTAATAGCTCCTGGCATCGCTACTAGTAATAAGAAGCTACTAGGAACAAAGGGCATCGCTACTAGGAGCAAGGAAGCTAGTAGATTGGAGGCCATCGCTTCCTGGGATCATTTGGGAAGACATCCCTGGACTTCTCGATAAAACCGACAGGTTCTCTTTGCGTTTCCTTTCAGGCATCGTATTGCATCGTGGTGGTCGAGAGGCACCAAATGGGAAAAAGGTTTGGCGCCTGGCGCACTCCCTTAAAATGGCGCAAAGAACTTCACACTCTGCAGACTGATCTGACTGGGACTTTGTACCGCGCGAAGTGTGGCAACCCGGCAAACCTGTGTTGGTGAAGTTCAACCATTCTGACAATATGAAACAATATCAAAATAGCCCGGACCAATCGTTCAACACAAGCTAAGCTCCAAAGTGGTGCGACAGAAGCTGCCTCAAGGACGCAAGTGCTGGGGACAATTGCAACCTGTTCGGTAAGAGGTGTTTGATGGCGTTCCGGTTTGGTATATCAGAAGCGTCCAACCCCAAAATGGCCATACGTTCTCAGCTCGTGTCTATGTGGCACACCTTTACAGTTTGGAGGGCTTGCGCCATTTGAGAGAGCAAGTTCGGGCGGTGTGGTGTAGCGAGTTCCCGCAAGCGCCCTGGCCGCATCTGCTTGGGCTCCATGGAAACGAACCCGCTCCGTTCGCCTTCGCCCCACAGATCCCACATGATCGTGACCTGAAAACCCACCAGCGATCGCCACTTGAGCTCGGGGGGAGTGTCGCGGTTATGAAAAAAATAAAAGCTTCTTGTTACTACTAGTAAGGCACCTGTTACTACTAGCGTGGCACTTGTTACTAGTAGTAACAAGAAGCTATGCACATTGGATCGAACCTGTGCAGCACCGCAAGCTATTTCAGACCCGACGAGGCTCTGCTTAGGAGCCAAGGGCGCTACTAGGGGCTCCTGGCCTTACTAGGAACAAGGAAGCTACTAGGAACAAGTGCATCGCTACTAGTAACAAGTGCCTTACTAGTAGTAACAAGAAGCTATTAGAAACAAGAATTAAAAGTAATTAGAATTAACGTAACTTACTTTAAATTAGACTCAAATTAAATTAGAATTAAACAAGGACGCGACTAACAAAAGGCTTCTTTCAGCCTTGTGTCGAGATACATTGGCAGAATCGCCAATTTACGCTGAGAGCTCTGCACTGGCTCTCCGTCTGCCGCGCTATTGGTGACACATTTGCGAGGATCTTCGGAAACATTGACAAGCGGTGACTTGTAGAGAAGTAATATGAAGCGTCCCTCAAACACATCAGCTTTGCTCGGCTCATCGGTTGGTCAACTTGTTGGTAAATGTTTGCGAGGTAGCAGACTCGACCGGCCTACGGTGCAAACAGTTCAGATTGTTGTCCGCTGCGAGAAATCACAGGTATCTGATCGTTCTTCCACAAATACCCCATCAGTTTGGCCACTTATCTACTCGGAGTGCATTCGTTCCCTGGTAGGGGTATTTGACATGCTTGGGGGTATGTTTGGGGGCATGCTTTAACATCCCAACTCAGCCACGTAAAAAAATACTAAATCAACACCAGTACACGGCGCATATCAAACTATATAAGGAGTTGCAAAAAATCAGTGCAAAACGCCGTACATCGTGGCAGTTCAGCCAAAATTAGCCGAAAACCTGAAGGAATACCGCCGGACTGGGTACTAGGTAGCAGGCGGCATTCAAACATCAGCGCAACCGGCCCCAAACAGGCCTCCAACCTACTAGCGATGGTCTCCACCTAATAGCATCCTTTTTGTAGCACACGCCACACGAAACATGTCTGCGTTGAGGAACAGACGCAGGGACATCGCGATGCAAGCCTCACAAACGTTGCGAACCAAAACGCAAATTCAAAAAACGTGGAAGAAAAGATTGATACTAGGAACATCTAGGAACAAGGACGCTACTAGGAGCAAAAGGGCATTTCTACTAGGAACAAGAAGCTACTAGGGGCTCCTACTTGCAGCGATTGCTACTTGCGCCTGGGCCTCCAGGCCCAGATCAATGTGCGGCTGATTAATGCCTCCAAGACCTGCGCCGAAGTCTCTACGTTTTAACCAAGAGCGCCCGAGTGATGTTTTCCGAAACGCGGTAAACATCTTCCAACTTCACCACTTCTAGCTTTACATCTTCTAACTTCGCTATTTGACACTTCACATCCTCTGTCTCTCTGTCTGTCTCTCTCTCTCTATTTCTCTCTTTCTTTCTCTCTCTCTCTCTCTCTCTCTCTCTCTCCGTCTTTTCTCCGCTCACTTCCAATGCACTCGGCGCTAAGTGAGGTCGAACTGGCAATCTTCCAATGGTGTCAAGACTGTAGCTTCGTCTCATGGCAAGGTGTAAGCACATACATACATGTGCACGTGCTCATGGCACAAT